GGGGCCCGTGAACATCTTTAGCTTGTGAGCCAGGAAAAGGGTTGTTTTTTCACGAGGTGACCCTAGGGAACCGTGGGCTCTAGGTTTCCTGCACTGTGAACAGGTTGGGTCCGGGCATTTGTGTTTTTGTAGACCAGCAGCCGCCCTGGCGAGAAAAGACAAAAAATGCCGTCAAAAAAAACACATAGCGGAAATAATGGTTGGTGAGGTTGAACACTTGGCGGCTCGCCCGACCGAGTCGCTGCAGCAGACCAGCCGCGATGCCAAACGGTCTCAGATCCACCGGCGTGAAGTTCGACCCTGTCACAGGCGATGTCATATGGTCGCCGCCAGCCGCCATGCCCACAGAGGTTGCCGAAGCGGCAACCCCCGTGCAGCTGAGCGACGCCGTCTATTCCTCTTCGAGCGAGAGGTCGTCTCAGCAAGAGGTTGACCCGCAAGAGCCGTCGCCAGGTGTTGGGTTGGACTTCCCCGAGCACGAGCCTCCGCTTACGCCGGAGCCGTCGCCGCCAGAGCACGATGAGGAGGCGCCACGCCTTCTCCCTGTGGAGTCGTCGGGCCTGCGGGAGCCTCCGCTTACGCCGGAGCTGCCGTCGCCTCCGGAGCACGATGAGGAGGCGCCACGCCTTCTCCCTGTGGAGTCGTCGGGCCTGCGGGTGGAGGGGGACGTGCCGTGGGCCGAACCGCCGTCCTTGCCCGCAGAGGCGGACGAGGCGGCCCTCAGCCAACGGCTCAGCACCGGAAGCCCGACAGTCGACTCGGACGGCACGAGCGACGCCCGGCGCTCGCGTGTCAGCTCCAGCGACTCCAGGGCGGCCGACTCGGACGGCGAGGTGCGGCGGTCGCGTGCGAGCTCCACTGCGCTCGAGCGTGTCCGGAGGGCAAAGCTGACGCGGGCGAGAGCCTCGCAAGGGCACAGGCCGTCGGTCTCTCCGCACCCGCCCGAGCCGCCGTCAGACCGCCGCTCGAGCGACGACGTCACGGCCGCGGGCCGCTTCATGACGTCTTCGTCTTCCTCCGGCTTGAAGGTGGACTCGGGCACTTCCGACTCGGACTCGGACGGGCCGCAGGAGCCGCCAACGCCGCAGCCGCGCCGTCCGCCGCTCCCGTCGGCAGAGTCGTCAGACTTGTGGAGCATATCCACTAAGTCGGACCGGCCGCCCTCGCCGGGCGCGCCCTCTCGGCATGAGTTTGTCCTCGTTATGCCCACGCCCAGCGACGACGAGGCGCCGAGCGACGACGCCGTCAAAGAGGCCCCGTGGCGGGAGGGGCAGTCCGGCTCTGCGCTTGGCGGCAAGGGGGGGTGGGGCGGCACCGACGAGGCGGAGGCCTCGCTCGAGGCGAGGAGCGCCTACTCGCGGGCGCGCAAGCGCGTCGACGAGGGCTGCAGCCGCACCTCCAGGCGTGTGTGGGTTGCCCTCGGCGCTTCGATCGTCCTTGCCGTAGCTCTCGGCACTGGCCTCGGCCTCGGGCTTGGGCAGCGCACACCGCCGGCGGGAGAGGTGGGGCGGAATGTCGCTCCCGCGCCGCCCGCGCCGCCCGATGCTCTCACATCAGAGACCAGGCTGATTGCGACCCTCGACCTCAGTGGCAACAACTCCGCGCTTGTCGGCGGCCTGACCCGCTCGGACCTCATCCTCGCCGTCGACACCAATGTCTGGGAAGCCGGGACGCCGAAGATCACCTCGATTGAG